ACCCCCTGACATCAGGGGCCCGGCGGTGGACCTGCAAGGCCAGCGGGAGTGCGAGGAAACCCCGCCAAGGCCCTCCCTGGCCCCAGGCAGGCAGGGGTGGGGAGAGGCGGGGAGGAAGCAACTTACCCTCCCTCTTCTCCTGCCTCCTCCTGGCTGAATGAGGGCTGGAAGCGGGGCGGCCGGAAGCAGGGGGCGGGGCTTCATCATGTGCCCCGCCCCCTGCACCTCACCCAGGGGAACTGCGTTCCTCCGCGTTCCCCCCCGAAATGACCTCTGCCTTTGCCTCATGTCAGGTGAGTAAAAGCTCCAGTGACCAAGTAACATTATCTAAAGCAGCACGGAACTGCGAAGGGGCCACGAACAGGGAAGGCCAGAATGGTTGAATGTCCACCGCCCCAACCAAAAGCTTGGCAGAACAGCTCCGCTTTACAGGCCCTGGGAACTGAAATAGGTCCCGTAGGGGCCTGATCTCGGGTGGGAGCCTGTTCCATCAGGTTGGGGCAAGGCCAAAAAAGCTCTTGCCCTGGTTGAGGCTAAGCAGACACCCCTCGGGCTGGGGATTACCAGGAGGTGCTGATTGGAAGAGCGCAACGCTCTCTAGGGCTCATACGGGGAGAGGCGGTCCCACAGGAATGATGGTCCCAGGTTGCATAGGGCTTTAAAGGTCAAAACCATAACCTTGAACCGGATCTGGCATTCGATCAGCAGCCAGTGCAGTTGGCACACCGGCTGAATGCACGCCCACGAAGGCGTCGCTGTCAGTAAGCGGGCTGCTGCATTCTGCCCTAGCTGCAATTTCCGGATCAGGCCCAAGGGTAGCCCCAAATAAAGTGAGTTACAGTAATCCAGCCTGGAAGTAACCATTGCATGGATCACTGTAGCTAAATCCTGAGTGGTAAGATAGGAAACCAGCTGCCTGATCAGCCAAAGAGGATAAAAAATCGATCTGGCAGCCAAAGTGACCTGGGCCTCCATAGTAAGCGAGGGATCTAGCATTACCCCTAGACTCCTTATCCATGGTGCTGGCACCAATGGTGCCCCACTGAAGACTGGGAGTCTGATTCCTGACCCCAGTCCCCCATGACTCAGGTACAGGATCTCCATCTTCATTGGATTCTGCTTCAACCAGCCAGCCATAGCCTCTAACGCCCTGTCCAAAATGTCTGGGGTGGCATCTGGCCATCCATCAACAGATAGAGCTGGGTGTCATCCGCATATTGATGACAAATCAGTCCAAACCTCCAGACCAACTGGGTGAGGAAGTGCAAGTAGATGTGAAATAACATTGTAGAGAGGATCGTCCACTGTGGCACTCCGCATTCAAGCAGGTAGTGTGGAGACATCCTCTCCCCTAGCACCACCCTCTGTCCCCAACCATGGAGAAAGGAGGATAGCCACTGTAAAGCAGTCCCTTGTATCCCAATGTCAGCAAGGCGGTGGGTCAACAGATCATAGACGACCGTGTCGAATGCTGCTATCAGATCTAAAGCAACAACAGCACCGACCTGCCTTGATCCAGGTGTCACGGGAGGTCAACCATGAGGGCGACCAGCGCAGTCTCCCCCCATGACCAGGGCAGAAGCCGGACTGGAAGGGGTCCAGAATGGAAGCATCGTCTAAGAAAACCTGGAGCTGCTCAGCCATTGCCCTCTCAACTACCTTATGCAGAATCAAAAGATTTGAGACTGGGCAGTAGTTGGTAAGGACTGCAGGATCCAGCGATGGTTTTTTGAGAAGCAGATGCACTACAGCCTCCTTGGAGCCCCTTGGGAATACCCTTGAAGAGAGGGATAAGTTGATAATCTCTCCCAAGGGTGCCCAAACCCCATCCCTGCAAGCTTTAATTAACCTTTCCACTCTTGCTGTTTCCCCAGTCTACACCTCCCCCAATTTGTTATTAGGACCAATGAACAAAAAATATAAAGGCCCTTATATTGCCCAGTCAGCTTTTGGAAATAAAATAACGGCCTTTTAGATTTGGAAAACAACACAAGATGAATGGGTTAAACATACCCTCTCTGAGGATCACTTCCGCCATCAAATGAGCAGTCTCACATTAAAAAAAAGAGATCTTGTAGGGTTGCCAGCCTCCAGGTGGGGCCTGGGGATCTCCTGCTTTTACAACTGATCCCCAGCCGACAGAGATTAGCTCCCCTGGAAAAAATGGATGCTTTGAAGGGTGGACTCTATGGCATTGTATTATGTTGAGGCCCCTCTCCTCCCCAAACCACGCCCTCTCCTGGCTCCACCCCCAAAGTCTCCAGGTATTTTCCAACCCAGACTTGGCAACCCTAAGATGTTGGGAGATCTAGTCCTGGATTGTCTGCACCAGTGTTTGTTGACTCCAAGAGGTGTTTGAAGTTAGTGTTTGAGGCTTCATTTTGAATAAACATGAATAGGATTGAGCTATAACAAAAGTTTTAATAAAATCATTATATACTAATACTGTATATTCTGGGGATTTCAGTATCTGTTTTGAAGGACTGTGTGCAAAGGACATTTCTGTCACCTTTGCGGAGATCATAATCTACCACAGAACTGGTTCTCTAACCTTTCAAGAACGGTTCTCTCTCATCTACGCTATGGCAGAGTATCTCCACTTGGACCCATCCCTCTTGACACTTATTCCATTCAAAGAATCCTTTAACAAGCACTTGTGGAATCTGACCGTACTAAGTGAAGACACTAAATACATCAGCACCATGGAAAACCACTATGTTGGACTATGTTGGCCAGTTGGGTTTGGAGTGTTTGCTATGTTGTACGAATTAATACAAGTTCTACGACACAATGTCCAGTCAAGCCATCTCTCACAGTTGCTGGGCTATGAAATTGCTGGCTGGAGGATACTTCAGAAAGGCAGCAATGAAAAAAAGCATGTAGGAAAAAAACAAAGGAGGCAATTAATGGTCACCCCAAGGCCTACATTGAGACCAACTAAAATAGGAGTGAAACCAACAGAAATGGAGGCCTTCAGTTTTTGGTCAACTACTCTGATCCATACAAAGTTTGCTGTAAGACCTAGCGCAAGTTCATCATTTTTGTACAAAGACAGTGGGACAGCTGTTTTCCAGTCTCTCTCTTCTGCTGTTCCTGAACTTTCACCTTCCTTGATGACAGCATCATTAACAGAATTTGGGAGACAGGACAAGCTGTCTTCCAGAACACCACCAATATCAGAACTCCCACAGTCTCAAGTGCAACAGCAAGATACGCACTCCACACTGAAGAAATCTGAGCCAAAACCTCATATCACTCAGTATTATTTTTCTGTGCCAACCAGCAAAACCCAGGCCTCAAGACCTGTTCAGCCCACAATGAGTGTTTCTGTTTCACAAGAAGATACACCCTATGAAAAAACGCCTATAGCACACTTCCCAAAAGAATTTGTGACAAAGTCAACATATAGCAGCCCATATACTTATCTAACAACATCTGGATTAGCATTCGAGGACAGTTTTTTTAAAACAAATCTCCCTGTACTCTCCACAATGTCCACACTGGCAAAGCCAAGGTTTCCGTTTTCCAGTGTGGCCACATCTTTGTTCTTTTCAGGTTGCAGCCATCAAAACCAAGACCTATTTAGCAATGGCAGATATGCCTCAGAATTATTTATGTCAGATCCACAGATGAAAGGACACCTCTTTATGGAAGAAAACTCTTCCCCTCTCCCGGCAGTCCTGACTGAAACATCCAAGTGGGCCATGGACTTCAACTTGGCGGATGTTGCAATAACACCTGATTCAGCCAGTACAGGCAGTGCTTCTGACCATGAACATCAACTGGCTCCTGATACAAGTCCAGCACCACAGTTATATCACAGTGACAAAACTCCCGCCTTGACAACATATAGCACACAAGAATTCATCAACTTGGCGGATGTTCCAATAACACCTGATTCAGCCAGTACAGGCAGTGCTTCTGACCACGAACATCAACTGGTTCCTGATACAAGTCCAGTACCACAGTTATATTACAGTGACAAAACTCCTGCCTTGACAACATATAGCACACAAGAATTCATCAACTTGGCGGATGTTCCAATAACACCTGATTCAGCCAGTACAGGCAGTGCTTCTGACCACGAACATCAACTGGCTCCTGATACAAGTCCAGCACCACAGTTATATCACAGTGACAAAACTCCCGCCTTGACAACATATAGCACACAAGAATTCATCAACTTGGCGGATGTTCCAATAACACCTGATTCAGCCAGTACAGGCAGTGCTTCTGACCATGAACATCAACTGGCTCCTGATACAAGTCCAGCACCACAGTTATATCACAGTGACAAAACTCCCGCCTTGACAACATATAGCACACAAGAATTCATCATTTCCCTATTTACCTCTTCAGTAGAATTTGGATTACTCTCCGGAACAAGTGGCATCCACACAGAGCATCCTTCTCTGCCTTTATCAACATCAAAAGAACTGACAGGTTCATTTAAGTTTCATAGCGTATCACCAGTGGAAGAATTATGGCCCACTAGCAAATGCCTGACCCAAAAGGTATTTGAGACTGATGAACATACATCAGAGCTTTTTGTGACTGTTCCACAGACAAACAGACTTTTCTGTACAAAGGACAAAGCCTCAACTCTTACCAAGATGTATGTGGAAACTCCCCTTTGGAATGGGCCATGCCGTTTAATTTATATTACAACATCCGGTGGTGGTGTTTTAAGCAGCGAGTTTCTAAGTGTAGACAGCCTATGTCAGTGGGCCAGTCAGACATATTTGTGGTATTCTTATGATACTCTACTGCTTTCCTTGCCTGTAGAATTTACTGGTACTCCCACATTACAGTGCTCTAAGAATTATTTTAGCTCGTATGCCAGTGGTGTTGGTAGAATCCCTGTGGCATGTCCTGGTGTTTTACAATTGGAGACAAGTGATTTAATTTTAAGTAGCCCACTGCGAACCAAAGCAGCCTTCCCCATCACCAAGCAATTTACATCACAGCTGCTGGAAGATTCAACTGTTACATCTTTGCAGGCTGAACTTCATGCCACTTCTGTGTTTCCAGAGGAACAAGGTAAGCTCTGTTTTGTTTTCTTAATATTTACTAGCATGTTCACTTTGACTCCATGTGAGCCACTCACCTCAGATTTCATTTCATGGGGAAACTGTATTCTTGTCAGTCCCTAACACACTGTCAACAGCCATTAGCTATAGCAGGAAAAACAGTTAACTAAAAACTATTCACAGAACATGCATTTTAAAACCTTTTACTCCTTTGGGAAAGCTGTGGTCAGGAATCTCATCATATCCACAGGTGTGCTGGATCAGATCCAGAAACAAGCTCAGGATCCAGTTTGCCCCAGAGAGCAGCCAGGTGCTTTCCCAAGACCCATCAAGAGAGCTGCCATGACCCATTCTTCATCCCCAGTATATTACCTCTGAAAATGGAGGCTCCGTTTTGTTCCATTATCACTGGTAACAGCCAACAACAGAATTACTATCTACTCATTTCATAAAGACTATAACCTTTAAAACTGTCTCAGCCAGTGGCCTTCATCACAGAGTTTAAGTAGAACCAAAGCGGTGTGGCAGTCAGAGTGCCAAGCTTAGATCTAGTAGACCCCAGTTCAAATCCCTACTGTGCCATGAAGCTTGCTGGGTGATCTTGGGCTAGCTAGTCAGTCTGTGTGTGTGTGTGGATCTCTGCTTAACCCACCTCACAAGATTGTTATGAAAATAAAATGGAAAAGGAAAGAATAATGTACGCTGTCCTGAGATCCTTGTAGGAAGGGGGGGTGATACATTATAAATGAATAAGGAATTGCATAAGTTAATTTAATGCTGTTCTAGAAATATCTGGAATTGCAGCCTTGACTGTTTTAACGACAACAACTGTAGCAGAGATAAGTGAAAGGTTTCTGTAGGAAAATCTGCAGGGAGGCTACATCTGCTATAACTAATGGTAAGAAACGTGACTGGAAAATGGGACCAGTTAAAAGGCCTCGAAATAAAGAAGGAAACAACTGTGTTACTGGCAAAAAAGCAGACAAAAATAGCTGATTACTAGTTGTGAAAGCTGATTGGATATTCTTTTAATTTCAAGACACAAAGGCTGTCCACGTAATCATTTTTTGAGAATACCTCTGAGTCTGCGATCACACGCGTCTTTAGATCCGACATAGGTGTGAATGCCTGACGGATCTAAAGGGCATGATCAGACAGCAACATCTGGGAAGCGTCCCGCAGTCCTCAGCAACCCGTGCTGCTCCGCTGCAGAAGCAGAGTTAAAAGACACCGGGGGAAGTCGGGTAGTAAATGGGTTCTGATGGGCCATGGACGGACTTTCCCCTGTCTGATTGCGCAAGCATGCTCTCATGCCATTGGGATGGTCTGATCAGGCCATCCCGGCTCGGTGCTGTTCCCCCCCCCCCTTTGCAGTATGCACATCATCGCATACTCTATAGGGAGCCCGTAGCATGGAGGTGCGATTCCTCCTTTATGAACAAATTGCCAAAAAAACCCCGATTCACTCGCAGTTGCCTCTGATCGCACAGTGACAGGCTGCACCCGCAGCTACAAAGGAATGTGTGATCACGCAACAGTGTGTCAAATTCCTCCGGAGGCGATAGCCTCGCTTCCCCTCTCCTCCAACTGGTACATCTGACCACAGCCTGACTGTACAGGATTAAGTGAGAGAAAAATGTGTCATTTCATGCCACTACTTTCTTATGGTTGCTCAATGTGTGATTAATCTGGTTTAGAACCGTTTTACATGCTCAGTCGGCGGGTTTGCCCATTTTTACATGGTGTGTTTATGCCAGTGCTTTCCCATGAGCAATTTTATTAAAAGAAAACTTGGTGCTTGGGGGGGTCAACAGTGGGAGGGCTTCTAATGTCCTGGCCCCACTGGTGGACCTCCTGATGGCACTGGTATTTCTGGCCACTGTGTGACACAGAGTGTTGGACTGGATGGGCCTTTGGCCTGATCCAACATTGGCGTCTCTTATGTTATTATGTTCTTAACATAATTAATATATTCACAGGCATTTATTTCTCCCTCGGGATACCCAGTCTGGAAGTGATTAAGATCTATATGGGTTTAAGTTTACCTAAGGGTTTACATTTAGGTAAGGGTTTCTGTTGAAACATGGGAAGAGTTTGATACAGAGAGGGAAGAAGGGAGAGTAGAAGGACCAAAAAAGTGGAAAGCCTTCAGAAAGAAGACGTGGGAACAGACCATTGGTTGACAGGAGAAGAGGAGGGCACCGAAAAGTACAACTCACATGGAAATCAGAGAGCACAAAAATAGTGCTGCAGGTTTGAATTCTAGTTACTATTTATCCTATCACTTGCCCTGGGGAAAACCAGAACCTGCAGTAAAAGAAGAGACAATGGCTGTGGTCACACACGCTAAATAATAAAGTTTCAAGCCACTTTCAGTGCACTTTCCAACTGAATTTTTACTGTACCAGTTTGGTGTAGTAGTTAAGCGTGTGGACTCTAATCTGGGAGAACTGGGTTTGATTCCCCACTCCTCCAATTGCAGCTGCTGGATGACCTTAGCAAGCCATAGTTCTGGCACAGCGGTTCCCTCAAGGACAGTTCTCTCAGAGCTCTCTCAGCCCCACCTATCTCACAGGGTGTCTGTGGTGGGGAGGGGCAGGGAAAGGAGTTTGTAAGCCGCTCTGAGACTCCAAGTGAATGGCGTGGTATAAATCCAATCTCCTCCTCCTCCTGTGTGAACTGGCAAAATCCTGTTGGAAAGTGCATTGAAAGTGGATTAAAAATGGATTATTTAGAGTGTGTCTGGGGGAGGAGCCCTTCTTCCGTTGGTCCAGAATCAATATCTTTGTGGAGATCCTGGAACTGATTGCTTAGCAACAGAGGCTCAGAATGTCTCCTGATTTTCCTGCTCCTAAGGGTTACAGGCTTCCATGAGTCCTCCTCCTGTGTTGGGTGCTCCTTCATTTGCTGAGATACCTTTCCTAATCCACCTCCTGTTGCCCTCTCAGGAGGGCTTCATGTGTTCTGTCTATGATGTTAAATACTGGGTTCGAGATGCATTGCAGTGCATAGCTCTATTTTATTAAGTGATTTCAGGAACAAGACTGAAACCTCAGGGCAAGAGCCTGTTTAAATAGTATGCAAAACCCACACCCAAACACGCCCAACTCCCAACGATAGGCTATTTACATAACATTAGTTCCTCATTGGTCACCTCCAGAGTCCTGGTGGGCTATTATTCTAGAGCTCCAAGCTCAGCCAGTCTCTGGTAAACAGTCCTGGAATGTTCCAGCCCTAATATATAACACCCCTCCCCCTTAAGCTCCAAAGCACTTTAATATACATAGTCCTCAAGGTATGCTGGCTTGCGCCTTTCCCACTGAGAGCGTCTCAGCTCAGACGGTGTTGGAGAAGTCACAGGGGCCCTGTCTGGGGTCTCAGCAGTGATGCTGGGTAAGGATGGTAAGTCAGGAGCAGAGTCCCGGTACTCTGGAACAGTCTGTATGGGTGGGGGCAACTCCATGCTGTCTGAACAGTCCCTGGCACTTGGCGGGTCCCACTCCCCGCTGTGCTCCGGTGGTGGCGGTAGTGGTCCCAGGTGGCTGGCCTCCGTGGCAACTGGCACTGGTTCAGCTACCTCTGGCAGGAGACGGTGGCGAAGCTGGTCGATGTGCCTCTGCAAGACTTGTCCACCATTGGTAGAGACCTCGTCTGAGAGGGGACCAGTGAATTTGATTATCTTGGCAGGAACCGAGGCAGGACCACTGGAGAAGTTCTGTGCATAGACAGGGTCGCCTGGAAAAAAATCCTCTGGGTGCTTCCTGTCTCTCCAGTGATGGGCAATGCTCTGGGGCTCGGTCTGGGTGCAGTCTGTCCTGTTGAATAGTTAGGCATCTGCCCATGAGGAGTTCAGCGGGGCTGCAGCTGGTGGTTACACCTGGGGTCACCTGGTGGCCGAAAAGGAATGCTGCAAGCCTATGGTCCCAGTCCCCGTGGATGATCCACCTGAGGGACGCCTTCATGGTCTGCACCATCCTCTCTGCTTGTCCACTGGTGGCTGGGTGAAAGGGAGTGGAGTGGATGTGCCTTCTGAGGTAACAGCCCAAGAATTTTTGGAACTCCCCCGAAGTGAAGGCAGTCCCATTGTCCATCACGATCGGTCAGGTAGGCCGTGCATCCTGAAGATTCATCTGAGGGCCCGGATTGCCGCTCTGGAGGAGGTGGAGGCAACTGGCATGACCTTCAGCCATTTGGTGTAGAGTCCACCAAAATAAAGAATATTTGTCCTTGGAAGGGGCCGGCAAAGTCCAAATGCACTCGGGACCAAGGGTTGCAGGTGGCCTCCCAATGGCACATGGGAGCACGGGACGGTTCCGGCCGGGTCTCTTGGCAGGCCTGGGAGCACTGGACCCAGGCCACTGTCCATTCCCGGCCACCAAACATAGCTCCAGGTGAGTGCCTTCATCTGCACAATTCAGGGGTGCATCTCATGCAGGTCCAACAAGACTCGCTGGTGCAGGGGAGCAGGAACCACTACCTGACTGCCCCACAGTAAGCACCCTTTGTGAGCCGGGAGCTTGTCCCAGCAGGATGAGAAGGCGGTAAAGTCCGGGCCCACCCGGCCAGTGGGCCAGCCCCTCCCCACCGAGTCCAGAACATGGGAGAGGATCCGGTCCTTAGCAGTGTGGCAGGAAATGTTTGCGACGTGCAAAGGGCGGTCGGGAAGCTCCTCCAAGAGCAAGATCTAGTGTGCAGAAGCTGGGTCTGGATTGATGAAGTGGAGTGGCAAGTGGCTAAGGGCGTTGGCATGCCCCATCGCCTTCCCAGGACAATGGAGGAGGAGTACTGGTAACACACAAGGAATATGGACCAAAGAAGAACCTGCGGTGAGAGCATCAGGGGTTTTGGTGATCTGGGGCAAGAAGTCCTAGCAGAGGTTTGTGGTCTGTCGCAATGGTGAACGGCTGCGCATAGAGGTAATTGTGGAATTTCTTGTCCTTGGAAGGGGCCTGCAACGATGGCCAGTGCCTCATCGATTTGCGCATAGTTACGCTCGGCCGAAGACAGGGT